AGTGCCTGAGCACCACAGTGCTCAACCTGCTGACTCACAGCATCCAGGAAAGCACACCCCACACATGCCTGAAGGAGGTAGTTTGTTGTTCTCAGATATTTATTTCATCCCTTTGGCACAACCACTCACCTGGGAACTACCTTGAAGATTTCACTAGTAATGAAGAGGATGAAGGATGAAGCACATGAGTACAACAGAAACACTCAGGACAGAAGAACCTCAAGATATGACAGGGGAAAAATGGGTCTCAGCACACACACACACACACAGAGCCCTTGGTAACAAGTTTTAGACCATGATCTCTGTGTTTTCCTGCCCCTCAGGCCAAACTGACAACCTCAAACCCTTAAGCAGGCACCACCATGCTGCCCTGGAGCAGCATCATCTTTGTATCTCATCTGCACCCTACAGCAGGGAATTCGGAGCAGTTACACGAAATCAGTTAATTTTAAACCCATCATGACCTTGCTCCAAACAGCCCACAGCCAAAGTTAGAGACTCCATCCACCTATGGAGAAAGGTCAGGGAGCTACACCTGGGGAGAAGCTGGAGTCCCTCCTGTCCCAGCTTGTACTTCATATATATACAGTGTCTGCCCAGAACTGAGAGGAAAAATTTCAAAGAAGCCAGGAAAGCACATGACTTGGACATGCCTGAGCTACTACACTACTCCCTGTACTCCCTATTTTAATATCCCATGTTTCTATTGATGCTCCCCCCCACCCCCACTCCTGCACTACCCACACAGCTCAGTCATCCCCATGATGCAGGAATATTCCCTTTTGGAGGGATGAGAAATGCTGTCTGAAACTCCCAGTTTTGTCACCCTCTCCCACACTGGCAGATTTCAAAGCCCACCAGAAAAAAGCTACACTTTCTGCGATGGAATCTACAACTATCATTGCCCTTGAAGAATGTACAAGATTTATAGCTGCATAAAATACTAGTACATTCAATGTAATTTATTACCTATTTTAGGTGCACATAATGTGCCTGATTTCCAGAAGCAGGGCATCGTACTGTTCAGCAGTGCTTTCAAAATAATTAATATCTGCCAAAACCAACAATCTATCCCTCTCCATACACAACAGGGAGATGACAGATTGCTGGGGAGGCACCTCAGAAAGGATCGAGGGGGGCCACCCCTTTTCCCATGGAGAATCCCCTTCAGGAAAGGAGCTGTGCTGAGCATGGGTAGTGCTGTGGACATGAACCAAACCATGCACACACCTGCAAACGTGGATCAGTAAAAGGAACCTTCCCAGGGGTGAATTTTGTTCTTTAAACAAACTGTGACATGGAAAGAGGCTGCATCACTAGAAGGGTAACAAGTCACCCAGGAATTTACCAAACAATTGAATGGTCAGTTTGACACAGGATGACCCAAAATCCTGAAGCCAGTGGGAGCAGCAGAGTCAACTGCATCATGTAGAAGCCCTTGGAAAGGCTGGATGTTAACAGCCAGCATCCTCTGCCACAGCATTTGTGAGGCTGGTTTGCATCTTTTATATATATATATTTAAACATGCTCTCATAGTTGTTTGTTTTTTTCTTATAGAAAGTTTTATTGGAAGAAACCTCAAGGCTACAAGGCCCTAAATGCATGATTACATTTTAAAGTCAAATCATATAAAGAAACCCAAACCAAACAAGGCACACCTCCTAATTTTCTATTTGCATGTCCTGTTTGTTCTAGGCCCAAAGGAGGAACCATGGGCACTTATTATTTGTTAAACAAAGTTACAATTATCTCTGGCAGCCTTTACTATCTTTATTGCTCCTTTCTAGATGCGTAATGTCATATGCCAATATAAAAAAGCAGAAGATCAATACACTCTCTCAGAGATGGCAGAAGCCAGGAGCACTGGCCAAGCTCCATCTCCTTGGCTAGAGGGACTCTAAAAACACAGCTCTACCTCCTGCCCCTGTCCCTACCAGCACTGCAGCTGGGGTAACTGGTTTGAGAAACACAGGCACAAGTTACACATAAAACAGGCCTCATCCAAATACCTTCACACCCCAGGGTCTAATTAGAGAGTTTTGCAATAGGTGGTGGTTTTTTTTAACTCCCTCATGGTTGTATTTTTACCTCTGCAGGCTGCCCAGGCTGAAGTTTATATGAGATTATTAACAGACACTTCAGCACAGAACTAAGGACTGTCCAAGTGACTTTGGCATGTCTACAGCAGGGTGAAGGAATACTGTGCTCCTGCCCTAATCAACCATCCCTCAAAAAGTCCTCAGCACTGCTGCAAGTCCTCTTAATGTCCCAGTAGATGGTCCAGCCCATTTCCCCTACAAGGTCCCCGAGAGTCACCACAGGTACCAACAGCAACCACTGTTCCTGGCCGCAGCCTTTACACACCATTATGAAAGAGATTTCACTTTTGAGAGCAGCACTTTATCAGAAGCATTTCCTGGAACTTCTATTCCTTTTTTTAGGCCACATCAGCACCAAGCAGAGAAAGAGGAATGAGAAGCAGGGAAATCAGAAATATTTGTGATGTTCACAAGCAGCCCAAGATATCCTAGTGAAGCAGGCCATAGGGAAAAATCCTTGTTTCCTACCAACTGAGGATGGCCATTTGGAACTACACAGTCCTAACAGCACTGTGAGGACGACACCACCACAGCAAACACCACCTATGTACAAGTTCTGCAGCATTAGGCAATCCCATGTTCTGCTCTTTGTGCTGAAAACGCAATTCCATGTGGCTTGGGATTAGACCCTCTGAGTGGAGCCAATTTGGGCAGTCCTGGACTGCTGGTGGTGCAGGAACCTTTAGTGCAGCTTGGCCCTAACAAACCCAGATGAGCTGCTCACTCCTTCCCATCCAAGCAGGACTGGAGACAGCCATAGCCAGCAGTTCTGAGTTTTGTAAGGACACGTTGCTTCTCAGAGACACTTAGCAATGCCTCCAAACACTGTTCAACTTTTCCCTAATCTCCTCCTCTCTGAAAGCAAAAACCATGGTTCTGTAGCTTTTCAGAGCTCTCAGGGCTGGGCAGTCAATCAGACCTTGGTGTAAGTTCAGCACCTTTCCCATCTAGCAGGCTACAGACTTTCTCAGATGCAATCTAGTGGCTCAGGTGCTTTAATATTTTTCTGACCTTTCATACAGTGTAAGTCTCAAGTGTTTTAGGGAGCCAAGCTCATTCCAGAGTGTTACAACACAAAATGTGAGAGGACAAGATGAGAGAAATTAATTATTGCTTAGTTTTCAAGAAAACCACATGCCCAGAGAGGAGTAATTTTATGAGCTGTAAACCTCAGCCCCACTTTCACAAGTCCTCAGTGCCACAGTGTGCCTCTTCCATTGCTCCAACCAGCATTCCTAGCTGACAGCTCCACACTACACTGCCTGGTCACCTGTGACAGAACCATGCTAGGAGAGCTTGTCCCAAAACAGCCAGGGGAAACTCTCTCCTTAGGAGGAAGAGAGACGTTATTTTTCAGCACTGTGAAAACCACAACTGACAGCCACCCACCATTTTCATATCCACCCCAAGCTTTCTCAGCATCACAAATACCCCCAAAAATGCTGCCAGAATAACCAAAAAGAAAAATGTTCACCAAGCCCGAATTAAAACTGAGAGCAGCTGCCTCACTGTCACACAAGGATTTATGTGTACAAAGAACCCAGTCCCTCAACAAGCCCCAGCACAGGGCCAGCACTGGCTGCCAAATAGCTTTGTTTGCTTTACACCTTTACCTGCAGGAGTTTACAAAGGAGTTTTCATTCAAAAGCTGCAGTCATTTTATATCAGAGTCAGCTACAGAATCTATTTAACTAGCAGGGAAGTAAACACTTTCCAGCATTTCACCTGTGCCTTATCAATATGACTATCTACTAGACAGCGTGTGCAATTCTTTCACTGAAGCAAAAGGGCTATGGATAGAAACTGCAGAAACTCTATGAAGCCAATTTTACAGCCACAGCCAGAGCCACACTGCTATAACCATGTTCCTTTCAGCAGCGGGGTGGCTCCCCAATCAACTTTACACCAGGTGACTCAGGGAGACCTTCAGCTGCACAATAAATCACCTAGAGTATCTGATATTTTTATTGCAATGACAGTAAGATTTCTCCATCTGCTCTGCTCAAGGGACTCACCATATCCCAACAAGTTTCTGCATGCCTACCATGGGGTACATCTAATTGTGCCTCTGCTCTGTCACATACAGTCACAGCCAGATTACATGAACACAAGCTCAAGGGAAACAGCCAAACGCACAGGAGAGCCAGGCACAGCTCTGTCTGAGGACACAGCTGTGCTGCCAGCTGAGCTAGTTCAGCAGGAGCACATTACTTCTGGAGCCTGGACATCACAAGTGAAACCTTTGCATCAATATGAAAAGTAAATTGTACATGGATTTTAACACTAGTAACTACTCTGGTAAAAAAACACAAACATACTTCAGATAGGGTTGAAAGTAACTTTTCTTCCCAAAGGCAGAGAAGCCAGTCTGTCTGAAAGCACCTCACATTCTAGTGCAAGGAATCCACATATAAACTCAGGTATTAGGAGAACCTTTCTGCCACAGGAGTGGAAACTCGCCAGCCCACAAAATACAAACACGGGAGATAATGGAGTTTATTAGCCTTTAGCTGTCGGGTGTTGGCTGTTCTCATCCCGTGCCTCTAGCCACATCTACCTCCTTCACCAGGCAGTCGTGGCACCTGCCTCGCTCCAGTCTGACCGCTCGGAGCTCTCAGCAGGTGCAGCTGCAGAGGCAGAGCTGGCAGCCAGGCGCTCCCCACTGCCATGCCGGGCACTTCAGTGCATGGAAGGGCAGAGAAGCTTCCCGGGAAGGGCAGAGAAGCTTCCCGGCACAGCTCTTCCCAAGGACACTGCAAGCAAACACGTGCTAAACCCATCTAAGGATTAGCCCCTCTCAGGTTTTATGTTTTCATTCACCTCAGTAGAAACTGACACTGTTTGTACACTTTAGGTGCTATTTACACATCCTCTCCACCACAATAAAAACAGAAACTTACCAGTAAAAAGCAACTTTGTCCCCAAGCTTCTTCTCATTGACATTTCTGTCCAGGAGGTTGTAGCAGATGTTGGTGGTCGCTCCTTTCATCCACTCGATGAAGATCTTCCCCTTGGTCACATCGAAGTTGTACTTCAGGAAAGGTCCCGTGAGCTGACGCTTCCAGTAGAACTCTTTAGCGATGTCTCCCCAAAATTCTGGAAAGGCAACGGGCACCGGAGCCCGTGAGCGGGAAACAGGGATGAGGGAACGGGGATGAGGCAGGTAACATCTGTGGGAACACGAGGGGCACCCCGAGCACCCCACACGCGGGGGTCCGCGGAGGGCTCCCCGCGCTCCCCACAGCCCCGCGGCAGCCCCCGAGGGCCCGGGGAGCCGCCGCCCCGCCGCGCCGGCCCCGCTCACCGTGCGGCTCCTCCACGGAGCGCTGGTACAGGCGCTGGTAGTGGGACAGCGACGGGACGTGGGCCGCGGGCAGCAGCTCGGGCCGCGGCCGGTAGAGCCGGGCCTGCTCCCCCGGCAGCACCATGGCGAGGCACCGGGGCTCTGCGCGGGCGGGGGCCGCCCAGCCCCGCTCCGCCGCCGCGCCGAGCCGGGGGCGGGCACGGCGGGCACGGCCCGCCCTCACGGCGGAGCGGGGCGGCGGCCATGTTCCAGAGCCTGTTCCTGCTGTCACCGCGGCTCTGGTGTGCCGCTGTCAGTGGTGTCACCTTCCCAGCAGCGTCCTGTGTCGGTGGTGTCCCCTTGTTTGCCTTGTCCTTTCTGTCATCGGTGTCCCCCTGTCAGCCGTGTTCTCGTTTCAGTGCTGTCCCGTGTCAGTGATGACTCCCTGTCAGCCGTGTCCCCTGTGTTTGTGGTGTCCCCTGTGTCAGTGGTGACCCCCTATCCGACAAGTCACCCTGCAGCTATGTACCCTACCCACCGTGTCCCCCCTGTCACCAGTGTGTCCCTCTCCAGTGGTGTTCCACTGTCAGTCATGGCCTTTCTGTCACTGGTGTCCCCCTGCCGGCCATGTCCCCAGGACCAGCGGTGACCCCTGTCAGCAGTGTCCCCGGTCAGTGGTGTCCCTTGTCAGTGGTGTCCCTCTGACAGCCATGTCCCACTGTCAGTGGTGTCCCCCTGACAGCCATGTCCCACTGTCAGTGCTGTCCTCCTGATAGCCATGTCCCGCTGTCAGTGGTGTCCCCTGTCAGCCCACGGGCCCCTGTCCCACACCATCAGCCCTGTCCCCCCATGCCAGCAGTGTCACCATTTAACAGCCCTGCCCTCTCCCTCACCAGCAGGAGTTGTGTCCCCTCTGTGCCAGTCCCTGCCACTTTGCCAGGCACAGGGAGCAGCCCAGGGCACTGTCTGTGAGCTCCTCTCTCACCAGTCCCAACGCAGGCCAGCGGGTACGGCCACACTCTGTGCCTTGTCCCCCTGCAGAAAACAACTTTTGTGTGGTTCCATGACCCTCCACTTCCCCTCCACCGAGCTGTGTCTGCACAGCGAGCTGTGGCAGTTCGCTGAGCACCTTCCTCCTGCAATAACTTTGTACCAATCTCCTGAGGTAGTGAGAAATTGAGCTTTTTTTTTCACTGTTTTTCACTAAGAAGGCAGTCAAATGCTGGAACAGGAGCCCAAAGTAGGAGCAGCATCACAGTCCTTAGACACAGATAAAATTCAACAAGATAAGCCCCTGCGTAGCCATGCCCATTGGAGCAGGAGGATGGAGCTGGGGTCTCCCAGGACCAATGTGATTCCAAGAGTCTGGTCTCAGAGCAGGAGTTGCCTGTGGTTGTACCTCCTGCAGAAGACCCCTTGTCATCCCAATCCTTAACATTCCCTGCACTGAGCCCAGCTGCCCAAACAGCATTGCCTGCCCCTATGACGTTGCCTGCCAAGATGATATTTCTTAGGAAGGCTGCCAAAACCTCAAATTCCTTTTCTCCACTGGGGAACTCACCCCTTGGAGCAAAGCATTGCTGTGCCTAGGCAGCCACCTGCCCTGGGAATTTTGTGCTGGTTTGGGCCAGGGCCAAGGAGCACTCAAAAGATTAAAGTGCATAAACTTGAAGTTGGCACAGTGTCAGTGAGCAGGTACAGCCTACTCTGGTATCCTTGGGTTTTCCTAAGTGCTTTTGTGCACTCCCTGGGAGTGTTGCCCTGCTCTAGACTGAAGAAGACAAACCTGTGGACTGGTGAGCGTTGTCTGCCACTCCAGGCAATGTTCTCATCAGCAAAGAGGCCAGAAACAGTTCTGTACACAAAAGCAGCAGCGCTGGTGTGTATTTTTCATTAAGCATGTTCTCTAGTTTTGAAGGGCACAGCTGTGCTGCAGCTCCCTGCTCTGGTGTCAGTTTGCTGTCTGCCCACACTGCTTCAGGGCAAAGGTTCTTCTGTGACCCCTTGTAGGAGGACACAGTGGTTTAGTCCGAGGTGAAACCCAAGAGTAGTTCTGGTGATACCTCCATCCATGGACTGTGTCCTATGGACAGTATCACTCCAGAGATACTCTCTACACACCTCCAACATGAGCTCAGCAGGATTTACATCCCAAATCTGTCAGCCACCCTCACACCATGCTGTAGCCCATGTAACAAAAATTCCTCAACCATGTAATATAAAAGCCCTGTCTTGGAAAGCTACGGTGTGGCCTCATATTATTAATCTCATTGTTTTTAACCAAAAAAAAAAAAAAAAAAAAAAAAAAAAAATCACAGGAAGATCAGTGTGCAGGGTCTCAATCTCTATCACATGGATGAAGGTGAAGTCTCAACACAAGTCCAATGCCCAGTTTTAGCCCATTCCTTTTTGGACTTTCAGCCTGGGATCACCGGTTTTCAAGCCCAGGCCTTCTTTGTGGGTAAACCAGTAAGGATACAGCCAAATCCTGCAAGAAATTTCCTTTGACCAGCCAGCAGTATCCTTACCTCCAAGTTCCTGATTACAAAAGGTGGGGTTTTTTTTTAAGAAAAAGTAAGTTTGGCTCTGCTGCCTGGGCTCTTGGACAGGGGTATTTTTGAAGCTCCTCAGGAGCTATGGGAATTGCACTCCAGCACTCCCCTTGGATTAATGGTCTGGGAACAGCTCCATGGATATTTGGGTACACTTGGCACATCATTTAACCCCAGCTGGAAACCACTCTGATCCTCTCCTGAGAAGTGGGACAAACCCTGCACCTCTAATGTCCTTCACAAGCCATCTCACTCTGATAATTTTCTGTTAAGAGTTGCCAGCCTTCAGTTCCAGCAGCCTGTGTCCCAGGGATTTTGCATTTACCAGCAGCCCCAGCAGCTCTCTAACAAACCCTCTGTCTCCCTAAGTGCCAGGAAGGGGGCTGTCATTCACCCCACTGCTGGGAAAGGGCTTTGTCACTCTCTTTGTCACAAGACAGTATCCCAGAGCCAGTGAAGAGGTGGTTTGCAGATCTGGGAGGTGGTCTGTGCTTCCCTTCTCATTGGCCTTTTGCTTTCAGTGATTTGGGCAGCTGAAATCCCCCACCAGCCTCAGTGACAGAATGATTTCTGTCCAGCAACTGTTGCCTCTGTGTGTGGGACATTCTGAGCCATGAGGCTGGGGCAACACCATGTCCCACGAGCCCCACAGCTGTCATTCATCCAACATTGTCCAGCTTGGGCTGCTGCAGCCAGGGAATTTTGTTCTTGTGCTTCAGCTGTCCACAGCTGTGGCCCAGGAAGCTGCCTGACGGGGAGAGGGTGCATCTCCTCTCAGAAAGCACCTGCAAAGCAGAGAATTCCAAATAGCCTCCTGTTGTTTTCCCCAGCTCTATCCTGTTCCAGTAAGGCTCCAAGCAGCTGCATACAGGGTTGTGAACCACAGAGGTGGTGCCATCAGTCACACCCCCATGGCACAAACACATCCCTCCTCACATTTTCATGTCAGTGTCTCACAGCTCGAAAACCCCAGAAACATGGAATGCTTTGGGTTGGAAGGGAACTTAAAGCTTGTGTCATTCCAACCCCCTGCCATGGGCAGGGACACCTTCCATTAGGCCAGGCTGTTCCAGGCCCCACCCAACCTGGCCTTGAACACTTTGTGGGTATGCCCAGGCTTCCCTCGGTGATTTTACAGGATCTAGGAAAGGGGCTCCTGCCATGTGACCATGCTTTGCTGCTGCAGTTCCTCCACCCCAGGGCAGTTTGCATCCAGCTGGGCTCCTGCCCTGGGGGCTGGTGTGTGCAGGAGCTGGATGCTGCAGCTTGGCTCCCAGCTCTCCGAACTCACCAGGCAGCCCTGGAAAATCAGCTGCATTTTAGGCCCTTTATTGCCTCTTCCTGTAAAGGAATAAAAGTACTTAAAGTGTATATGTTAATGAAATTACTTAAAGTGTGTATGTTAATGTATATTAAGGTCTCTTGAAGAGACTAAGAGGGTCAAAAAAAAAAAAATACTGGCCAGAATATGTGGTATCTTGCTCACATTCTGCTTTGGATACTCTGGAAACTTGGGATACTCTGGAAACAGCCTCTCTAGTGCAACACTCTCAGCAGCCCTAGTACAGCTCAGCAGCTGTGGTGGAACCCTTCACTGCATCTTCCCTGACATGAAAGATCTCTATCCTGGAGATGTTGGGAGTGGGGGAAAGAAACTGGAAAGTGTGAACTGGTTTGTACACCTCAGACCTCCTGATCCTGGTGGGACGAGCAGGAGGCAGCCTCACATGGGAAACTTGTGCTAATTTGGGCAAAGTACTGCTCCAGGTGGGCAGGTGACTTACTTGGGGGTCCAAGTGGGGTCACAGGGCATTGCCTTCTGGCCTTATTGCCAATAAACGTGGGAATCACATCCTCATTCATGCTGAGATGATCAGGCAGGAAGAATGCAACCCACAGGAGTGGAAGAAGGAAGCCAAGAAGGCACATAAGTGTCTGAGCTACACCAAGGCACCAGTGTGATGGCTGAGCCTCATGGGCTTGTCTGGAGGAGGACAGCAAGCCACCTCCTCTCCCGCTGCCTGTCCACTCCTCCCAGAGCATCTCCTGGACCGGGGCCTGGTGAGGCAGATTCAGCAGCTTGGTGTAACACCTGTCAGTGATGCTAATCAAAGAAGGCATATTTTTATCATGGATCTTACTCTTGGTGAACTTAGCACAAACAAGTTTGTGCCTTGCATGGCTGTGCCTTTATGAGAATATCCTGCAGTGGGAAGGGAAAGATTTCTTTAACCACATGCAAGGGTAGAGAATTGAGGGGCAGAACAAAAGAGCAAAGGATCTGGAAGGAATCACAAGTGACACCAGCAAAAACTCCTGGGACCTGCAGAGCAGGGGTGAGATGCAGTGGGAGGCACAGGAGATGGAGTGAGAGGATGTGACTAGGCTGTGGATCTTCCTGCTGGGGCTTTCTGAGCTAATTTTCAGCAGATAGCCAGGCTGTGCAGCCCTTCACTTGTGCTGGATGAATCAGCAGTCAGCAGCAGCAGGGTTAAACACCGGGCTGTACTGTCTCCCCACTGAGGACACTCCCCCTCGTCGCTGGCTGCAGAGGAAATTTTAATCAGCACCGTGATAAGAGCCCTTCAGTCCTGCTGGGAGTTATCAGCTCCTTTGTTTGTAAATGTAACTGCTCAATACCAAT